TGTGTGTGTGTGTATGTGCAATGTTTGTGTGTATGCCTACAAGTGTTTTCTTTGAGTCTGCCATTTCTTTACTCCTTTTCCTGACATATGAAAGGTGTGAGGGAAACTTCAACTTTGATGAAATCCATTGGGTTAGTTCTTTTTCCTTTTTTTTTAAAAAATTATTTGTACACTGTCCAAATTTGCAAAGAGTTTCTGTTTTCCTCTAGACCTTTTCTAATTTTAGGTGTTGTACCTAGGATCTGCTGTCAGTTACTCTTTCTTTATAAAGCAAGGTGTAGGCTGTGGCTTTCTGTGAGCCCTTTGCAGATGCATGGATTTGGCTGCATCTGAGGGAACCTTTCTTACTGTCCTTCAGCAGGATTCTCGTTGGCACTTTGTGAGAAGGCAGTTCACTGTGTACGTGTGGCTCTGTCTCTTTCTGGGCATGCTCTCCTGTTCCATCATTCTGCGTATCTCTCCTTTGCTCCAAACCACTCTGCAATGTAGTTTTTATAGAATGTCTTAAAGTCAGAAGGCTTCATTCTCCAGCTTGGTTACTTTTCAAATTGTTTCAAATGTTGTAGCTCCTTTTATTTCTGTATAATTCTTAGTGACAACCTACTTTCTCTACTGTAGGGATTTGGTTAGGAGAGCATTGAAGTTATAAATCCCTTTGGGATGACTGGCATCTTATGTGTCTTTAATCTGCTAGGCGATTCTGCTTATGCAGGACTTAGGTTTCTCTTAATTTTTTCAACTTTCAGCATAAAAAATCTTGTTCCTGTTTTGTTCCATTTGTATGTGTGTTTATTTGGTGCTACTATAAATGCTATCCATTCACATGTACATTTCTAGTTATTACTATTGTTATCGCTAATTATTGTTATAAGTATTGATGTTTAAGTGTTCTTGTACCTTACAGTGTGGTTCAACTCAATTGTTAGTATGCGTGGCTTTTATGGACTCCTTGGGATTGTCTACGTATTCATGTATTCCATCTGCAGAGGCAGTTTCATTCATATTTCCCAACTGTTTGCATTTTCTTGTCTCGTTGCACTGCTAAGACTTCCAGTTATGCTGAATAAGAAGTCTCAGGAGAAGTTCGTGATTGGTAATTTTCTTTAAAGAAAACATAGGTTTTTTTTTTTTTATCATTTCGATGAGATTGAGGAAATCATCTCTGACTCAGGTTTCTTTAGAACTTTTACAATTGAATCATAAATGGTTGCTGTATTGTTTCCATCTCTTTGTAGAAATCGTTGTTGGTTATGGTAGAAAATTACCCTACTGTTATTCTGAGAAGGCTGCTGCTTACGTTTTGGTGCCCCCCTTTGTTTTTCATTGTGAAGCTTATTAAGCAAAATTATAAATATTTTATATTTTAATCCCCCCCCCTTTTTTTGAAGTCTTGGAGTTTGAGTGATTTAACTTGCTAGGGAGATTTTGTGCCTTGTCCGTAATGTCATTCCCTATACACATTTCATTGTCAGTGCAATTATAAGTCATTGTCATTCCCTCAATTATAAATCAGCTATTGTCACTCAGTTACAAATCATGGCCAGTACAATTATAAATCACTGTCACTCAATTATAAATTACCCCATTGGAAATAACATCAAGTCTGTCTTCCCCCCCTTATTAAAATGCAATTTCCATGAGCTCTTTGAGAGTGCATCTATAAAACGGTTCAAGTTGCCAGTTTTGATGGCGTTCTCTAGTAAGTCCGTGGCGTGTCTTTTTGCTGATTGCTTTCCCTTTCCCATCTACCTGTACACACTGTACCCTTTGTTGATTATTGTTTGTCTCAGCTCTTTCTTTTTTCCTGAAAACTGGACATGTAAAAATGTATTATGTGCTCTCTCTGGGTGTTTGCTCATTTCTCTGACTTGGGATTTGGTCTTGTTGCTGTTTGTTTGCACAATAATCTTGTTCTTGATATATGGAAGCTCTGTGTTCTCCTGTGCAGCCACTGACATCTGTTTAGATTACCAGCCACACACAACTGTTTCCATCGATGCATAGAACTAATGCATCTAGCCTTTGTCAAGGGTCTCTGAATGATGGTGCAGGGTCACAGTTCTCATGAGAGCAGACTGTAACTGCCATAGTCTTCATTTGCCACTTGTTTAGAGCCAGAGGCAAAGTCTCAGGTCTTTCTCCAGATTGTACACACACACACACACACACACACACACACACACACACACAGAG